TACTGAAGTGGAATTCAAAAAATAAGTTTGCAAGGTGTTTTTAAGAAACTGATTTTATTGCAAGGAAAGAAATAAACAATTTCTTTCTACAGTTGACTTTTACTAGTCCTGACAGATATTTCCAAGCCAGTTAATAAAATGTTATATTAAGTTCTTGTATCTTGTTCATCTGGTTTTCATCAATACAGCTTCCCAGGGACTCTGCTTAAGTTCCTGGAAATAGTGCATGCTCTCCTGATCCACAACAGAATGGAGATCTCAGTCTCCCCACGACCCCTTGTCTTTGAGCCTTTATAGTGGAACCTGTATATAATGTTACTTTGCTTAGAGAAACTTCAGCAAATTTGGGTGAATCCATGTAGTTGAAGAATTACTTTAGATTTTTAAATCAGATCATAACATGCCCTTGGGGAATCCTATGTATGAGTGCAGCTATTTTAAACCAATTATGGGCCAAGTCATAAGGAGTAACAGATGATCCCTTTTCAGCGTTTTCTCGTATGGCTAACAAGGCACCGTTCCATTAGCGTGAGAGTGCCATTCACAATGTACTAGTCATTGATCATGTAAACTTATTTTTAGAATAACTCTGGCCTATCCCACTGCCAACTGCCTGGACCTTTATTTATATACAGGGTAGGGCAAAAGTAGGTTTACAGTTGTTCATACGGAAAAATAATTATACAAGAATAAACTCTGTATTTCGTGTGCTCACAACTGTAAACTGACTTTCACTCCACTCTGTATATGTGTATATATGTATTTTTATTTTTTTATACTTTTCCAACAAGTTTTTATTATTAGTTAAGCCATACTTCAGGATCCCAGGGTGAGATGTATCCAGGTCCCCCTTCACCTCCCTGGGAGAAGGTTGGAGGGCAGAGGACAGGTGGGTGTAGCCAGCTCAGATCTTCCCAGGAAACACGCTTTCTGCCTGGTGCAGAGGGACTTGTACACACACTGGTACCATTTGCACACGGAGACATCACCCCCTTCAGCGGTCATTGCCTTCTCACAGCAGTGCAAGTCCAGGTAGTTCTGCCAGCAGTTCCTGCTCTGGTTCTAGTTGGGGAAGCGGGTGTCAAGGGGCAGTCTGGTAGTTCTTGGTTCTGGTCTCGATGTCTTCTGCCCTGTTGCTGACTCCTAAAGGTGCCCCTGAAGCAGCTCGTAGCTTAATGTGACCTTCAGCAAAGACACCTCCATCTGGCCGTTTATATGTATTTCGATGGATTAAAAATGATTCTTTACTTTTCTTTTTCAATTTTGGATTATTCAGGTTTATGATTCAAAGACTACAAAAATGGTAGCATTTCCCAGTGAACCATTCTAAAATATTTGTAATGTTTTTATTTTTTTATTGGAGTATAATATACATACCAAACCATGCACAGATCATAGCTTGATGTGTTATCACAAATTAAACACAGCCCTATAACCAGAACTTAGATCAAGACCAAAACATTACCAATACCACAGAACCCCTCTTAGGCTCCCTTCCAGTGAATACTTCCCTGGCCAAGGGGAACCACTACTTTTGACTCCTAAAAATTAAATGTAATTTTATGAGGTGCAAAATTGTTTAATACATATGAAATGATGAAAGAATTTTATCTGTAATGACTATGATGATTGATAACCAAGAATTAAAGGTCTTAGAGGAAATAGATATGACTTTTAAAGTGTATCAGATCTTATTATATCTGATAAAAATCAACACTAGCATAGAATATGTCATGTAGATGAAACTAGTCACATTACCCCCTCTTTCGCCTGTGTGGGGTTGTTTTGTGCTGGCTCATTTAAATTTATATGTTCAATATTCTTCTTGTTTAAAATTCCTATTTGCTCTCATGGGAAAGCACTGCCTTTGTGCTCCCAAGTTTCTCTACTTGGTGTTCATGTCATTACCTCTCCCTTAGGGAAGCGTTTGAATCTAATTAGTCTATTTGCAAATGGCCCTCATATGAGCACATTTTTAATCACCAACAGGGTTGGCCTACATTCTAAAGGCCATCAAGGCATGCATTCCTCCCTCCCTCGGTTGCGTACTCAGCTAACAAGCCGTATTTGTTGAATACCAGCTTGGTACAGAGCGTTCTACCAGGTTCATTAGAAGATATTAAAAGTAGTAGACGACATCAACCTTGCTCTCTAGGAATTTAACAGTACAGTGTGGTGTTTAAACCTGTGGGATCTGGAGCCAGACTGCTTGGATTTATATTCCAAGTTCACCACTTCCTAGCTGTGTGATTTTAGGTGAGATACTTAATACTGTGTCCCATTTTCCTCATTTGAGAGAAGAGTCTAAGAATACTTATGTCATAAAATCATGGGGAATACTGTTAATATGTGTCGAGCATTTTGAACTGTTCCTGGCACACAGTAAGTACCTCATTAAATTTTAGCTGCTATAATAATCATCATCATAGAGATCATAGATAAAACACTGAAATTAGAACCAAGGTAGCACATAATTAAATTCCATTGTGAATGAAGAAAGCAAGTTGAAGCATCTGAGATTACTGAATTGGCTGCCTATTCCATATGCCATCTTGCCTCCATGAAACAAGGCAAGGACTCACTCCGTGAGTCCCTAGGCTGACATGAATCCATTTATTGTCCTTGATTAGAATAGAAAAAGCAAAGAATATATAAAAATCATGTTTAAGGAAGTTTTGATTAAAACTCCCCAGTATGTCTTTTCCAAATCTTCCCCACTCCCCAATTCAGAGTGCTCTTCCTGTCCCCACACCGGTCTGGTTCTGTTCACTGGATCTGTTTCTATTACTGAATATTTAGCAGATAAAGACTTGACTGATCAGCATTCTCATTTGTCCTTTAGGTCTGATGAGTCATTTGTACCTTACTATTGTAATCATATTCTTTTTCATTGAGTATCTGGTTAGAAATTAGATATAATGAAAGAATGGAAATTTGTTGTTTATAAGAGAAATGAGTAATTTTGACATACAGAATGTTTTATTTTTTCTCAAGTAGAGGTTTTGCAGTGGGGGTTTTGGGTAGCATGACATCATTGGGAATGGGGGAAGGGACAAAAAAATAAGTGGTAGGATGTCAAAACCTATTTAATCTCTTTTGAATGTTATCTGTTATTGTTAATTCATTCATATTATTATAAATGAAGTAGGCTTTTCAGGAGGCCAAGCTAAGAAACTAACTACCATTTATTATACATTCTATGGGAAGATGAATTCCAGCTTCCAAAAAATGAAAAGTGTAAAAGTTAAAAAAAAATTTTGGGGGGAATGCATTTCCTTTGTAAGTGATGTAAACAGTAACTGCTTTGTAAGTGCAAGAGAGATTTTTTTAAAAAAATTGAACATTATAGTGAGAGAAGGAGTTAGGGAGGAAGTAGAGCTTAAACTGGGGAAGCGTGAGAATGTCTGAAGAAAAGTGAAAACTTACAGAAGATGAGATGGGCCAGTTGGTATTTTAAATTTCTAGCTGCAAAGTCTGAATTCTTTCCCTAGGAGAGAAATAGTTTTCTTTATTACTGTCTTATACTGCAAATACAACCCCAGATTATCCTTGTTTCTTGGTTTTAAGCTATTATGACACTCCATGATTTAAAAAATTGATTAAAGATTTCATTTATTTTTTATAGAACCTGGGGTTTCCAATTTGAGAAACTTTCCACTTTGAAAATAATTTTAGATAACAGGATCTCCTAGCAATTTATGTATGATACCACAGTCTTGCTCTATTAAACACCGTGACAGTGCATTCTGTGGGCCTTGAGGTTTAAGGAAGATAATCTTCAAAGTACTCTATTCTTCAGCTTGACCTGGGGTATACCCAGTACACTAATCCCTTTCTACTCTTCCAGTTCACTTTCTAGATGACAAATACAATGTTTTCCCCTCATCTATGATACTGTATGGAAAGTATGGGGAGACCAAGAGAAACTTGGTGACTGAAAATTTTATAGAAACATCTATAAAGAGTTAATTTTGTGTAAAATTTCTATGTAGTTTTCAGGGGACTCTATGAAGTGTGTGTGTGTGTGTGTGTGTGTGTGTGTGTGCGCGCGCGCGCGTATGTAGAAATTCAGAATGACCACCAGTGAAAATTTTTTAGGTGATGTCTGATGGCAATAATATATAGTATAAATAGCCCTAGCTGGTTTGGCTTGGTGGATAGAGCGTCGGCCTGCGAACTGAAGGGTCCCAGGTTCGATTCCGGTCAAGGGCATGTACCGTGGTTGCGGGCACATCCCCAGTAGGGGGTGTGCAGGAGGCAGCTAGCTCATCGATGTTTCTAACTCTCTATATCTCTCTCCCTTCCTCTCTGTAAAAAATCAATAAAATATATTAAAAAATATATATATAGTATAAATGAATATGTATAAATTAGAAAAAAATTTAAAGAACTCTATCTATATCTGATATAGATAATGGGCCGCAATGTAAATCTTTATGAATTGTGTGAAACTTAAGCACCTAGTGTGTCTTTTCAAATGGCTGCCACGTCCAGTTGAATTCCCCCTCCCCCCCCCCTTTTTTTTTTTTGCTGGTGAACACTTTTATTTTTATTTATTTTATTTTTTTTCCTTTTTAGGGGTTGCTATTCTTTTTTTCTTGTTTTTTTAAAAAAATCTTTATTGTTGAAAGTATTACATAGGTCCCCCCCCCCATTTAACCTCTTCCAGCCCTCTTCAGTCCTCCCTCCTCCCCCCAGGCCTTCACCACCCCATTGTCTGTGTCCATGGGCTATGCATATATGCATAGAAGTTCATTGGTTGATCTCTTCCCACCCACCCTCCCCTGCCTTCCCTTTTCCCTTTAAGGTTGTGATTTAACTTGTTCTTCATAAAGGACTTTTAAATATAATATGTCTGCAGTCCATTTAAACAGTATCTCCAGATCAGTTCTGAGAATACTTAGGAAAGGTTTGTGTGAATGTTTTTTTTTTTTATTATTATTTCTAAGTTCATCATTTTGATACAAATACCCATGGTTTTCTTCTGTGTTTACATGCAGCCAGGAGCTATGGGCGGAGACGAGGTAAAAAAATTTTTTTAATGAAATCTTTTGCTTGCCAAATTGTGAGTAAATATGATTGTGTGTATGTTTATATCTGTGTGTGTGTGTAAAACAGTTAATGTGTGGTATGATGTCCTATCTTAATTATTTTAGTGACATAATTCTCTCATATGTTCATTATATATTTTTTGTTGTTAGTTGGTAATTTGTTCTTTAATACTAATAAAGACATAGCAAAGACTATTTCTACTGGGAAGTTTTGTTATATGATTTATCGTGAATGATCTTGAGGGGATACAAAAAAAATTTTTTTTTTTTTTGGTCCTGTATCCACTGTGTTCTTCTCCTACCACTTAGAAGCAGAAGTTGGGTATTAGAAGGCAATTCTTGATCTTAGTAGGTTGACTGGTGAATTTTTGTGTGTGTTATATCCAGAGGCAGATTTACTTTGAAGCTAAATGAAGCTTCAGTTTCAGGGAACCTCACTTTCATGAGCCCCCTCTACGATCTTTAGTTTTGTGTTCTTTTTGTTAAAGAGGGATCCCCAACTGTATAGTTGCTAGGCCCCATAGAACTTGCATTTTCTCCTGGTCACACCCAAACAAAATAATATTGCTCTCATTTGTATAATGCTTTAGCCTTTCTAAAGTATTCCCACATCTGTAGTTTGTCCAAATAATTTTAGGAAGTAGGTAAGCTTAATGTAGTAGAAAGAGTATGAGATTTAGGATCAAGGACCTAGATTGTAATCATTGCTTTATCACTTTAGTCTGGTATCCTTATCTGTACATTATGAGGTAATAGAACCAGTCTTGTTCAACCTCAAGAGTATTAATGAAATTATAGTTTAAAAAATGGGAAAGGAAAACCTATCCATGTAAACTAAAAGCATTCCAGAAATATAAATTGCTTTGGGACTCAACTCATTTGTAGAAACTGGGAGAAATGAAGTAATTTACTTGCTATGTGATCTCAAGTTAAGATCAGAGGCAAATCTGCTACCTTTGTCTTTTGGTTACTTATTCGGTGTTGTTTACCCTTCATTGGCTGTCTCTGACTTTGTAGTTGAATCCTGAAGAGAAGATAACATTAAATTCATAATATTTTATTATTTATTTCATGGTAAATATTTGTTGAATTGATGAATATTGGCAGAGCCTAATATGTATTTGAGTTGCCATTGAAACCTTCTTTCATGGTGGAATCATTTTCACCTCATGGTAAAGAAAAACATTTGTGTTGTTGATTATTTTTAACCCTGGAAATAAATACCATTTAACATTTTTAACCTAAATTAATTATTATTTTGTTTTTATTTTAGAGAGAGAGGGGGAGGGAGAGAGAGAAGCATCAATTTGTTGTTCCACTTATTTACACATTCATTGGCTGATTCTTGTATGTGCCCTGACCAGGGATCAAACCTACAACCTTGGTGTGTCGGGACCATGCTCCAACCAATTGAGCTATCCGGCCAGGGCCTGGGGTAAATTATTTTTAAATTTAAAGTATAGAAAATAACATTACTAGAAATCATTTTGTACCATTTCTTTCTTTGGCTGCTAGAAAAATGATCACTCTCAGGAAGGAATAGGGAGTGGACCATTTTACATGTAAGATAAACACCATCTGGAGGGTCGATGGCGGGGACTACACAGTGATCAGTCGCCAGATCTTGTTAATATTTTCCCACTGGTTTCTCAGGCTTTGCCCCTCTCCTTCCATTTGTATTATTTCACCTTTCTGAAATGCCACTGTGTCCATGTCACACCCCCCTTTCCATTCAGGATCCCCATCATCTGGCTTCTCCCCGTTTCCCCAGCGCTTTCCTCTGCTTCTGCTGCCTTACATTCTTCCTTTCTTTTCTGGGTGCCCTGATTCTTCAACTGGAGATAAGTTCTTTGAGGACAGTTGTCTCTTTTCCCTGACACTGTGGTAATTCATATAGTTAGCACTTAACAATGCTTAGTGATGAGGATTGCTTTAAAGTAAACCCACATCTATGCAGAACAGAGTTTGGCATTATATTTTAAAAATTATTTTTTACAAGTTATAGTATATTAAATATAAGATCACCTGTAGTTTCTAAACTCATGAAAAAGAATTACTCTTCCTATTTCCATGTTACCTTCTCGGTATCTATTTGTAAGTTTTGACTCAATCGTTTTCAGAAGCCATGATCATCTTTGCATCAAATGCTAAGCTAAACACTGCCTAGATCAGCAGACCACCAGTGGCCTGTGAGGCCCAAAGGGTTGGCGACCTCTGGCCTAGATGACTTGAGGGTTGGCGACCTCTGGCCTAGATGACTTGATCCCTACTTTCTGTAAGTCTGCAGTTTGATAGTTGTAAATGAAGAGAGAGAGAGAGAGAGAGAATGTGAGTGTGTACATGGGGGGAATAGTAAAAGATGAATGTTGACTTTATGTAATGAGGAAAGAAGGTCTTTGTTCCATACTTTTATTTGGTCTTCTATTCCCAAAGCTATAAAAGAAGAAATGTCATCTTCTTTAAATGCAGTGACATAGCTAGGTGAGATGGGGCAGGTGTACCTCATATCCACTTTCATTCTCAGAAATATACTCATCTGGGCCAATGCTGCATAATATAAATTTGATGAACTGGCAGGTTTTCTCATGTTCACATATTTGTGTGACTAGAGATTATATTAATACTTGATTTGTTTCCTCCAAACAAAATTTAGACTTACCCCAAAAGCATAAGAAGTAAGCTTGCTGATGTATGTTGTTTTATTCTACCTATGGTTAAGATTTGCTATAACTCACCCTGGCCAGTGTGGCTCAGTTTGTTAGACTGTTGTCCCATACACCAAAAGGTCACAGGTTTGATTCCTGGTCAGAGCACATATCCAGGTTGTGGGTTCAATTCCCTGAATATGAGAGGCAACCAGTCGATGTTTCTCTCTCCCTGTTCATCTCCCTTTCTCTCTCAAATCAATAAAAATTAATTAATTTTTCAAAAAGATTAGCTATAACTCATAATCTATGTGTTACATATACAGAGTGTGGCAAAAGTAGGTTTATAGTTTGTATGGAAAATAATACAATAAATAATAAATAATAATACAAGAATAAATTTTGTGTTTCAAGTACTCACAACTATAAACCTACCTTTGCCCACTTTATATATGTCGGTAAATATTTTAGGAATAGGAAGCAAAGGGAATTACCTCGCAGTTTTGAGATCTGTCAGCAAGAATTAGGCCAGTAGAATCTTTCACCTCTCCTGAACCTGGAAAAGCTGCCTTGAATAGGTAGAATTTCAGGAACACTTTCGATAATGGAAGAGGAGGGGAAGGCAAGGCACTCTAGGTATGTGATTCAACTTGAAAGAAAGCTTTGAGGTGAGATTGGCATGACCAGTTGCTTGGAAGATATGTCCCTGAGGTGTGCAGTGGGGGCCAGCTGGACAGGCGAGGTTGGCAATGAGATGGTCTGTGCTGCCTTGATGAATGGTTGTAAAACAGAGGGGAAGACTCCCAAACACAGATATGTCAGGCTTTAGAAGGAGGGTTTCACGAAACAAATAATGAAAACCAGAGAGAACTTGGGCATCAACAGAAGGCTTAGGTGGGGAAACAAGTGTTGGAGGGTAGACTCTTTGCTTCCAGTAGTGTAGTTGAAGCGGCAGTGGTTAGGGAAGAAGAAGAATTAGATATGAAAGAATAGGATTTGAAAATGAATATTGATTGTGTATAAAGTATTTAAACATCCAATTACATTTTCTGTTGATACTCATTTTTATTGTAGAAATGTGTTTTAGTAGACACATGTTGATTTCCCTTGTGGAATCAAAAGGACACCAAAGCATTGTAGCATTTTCTCTCAAGAGTATTCTGTTGTTGTTTTTTCTTAGAAGTATTCTGGTTTTCACAAGCTCTGATATGTGTTTTCCTATATAACTGCGCCCCCTGTTAGAAACTAGTCTAACAGGTGGTATACAGGATCTTTGCCTTACATTTAGCAGCACTCCTGACCAAAATATATGTTGTGTTTTTCATTGTACATGAATTTTTATGGACTCTGGGAGACTTCTGTCCATATGTAGACATGTTGGGTGTGTGGCAGTGCTCTTGCTGCTTAACAGCATTTCTTAATCAAAGAGCAGCAAGGAAAATAAAAAAGATCTTTTTAAACAATGTAAATGAGCAAATACAAATAATGTTTGGAGTTATTTTACTATTGGAGTTGCTGTTGTAAAATGTACTTCTGTGTATATTTAACCCATAAAAACTTTATTGACATTAATGGATGGCTTAGTTGATAACAGTGGTTCTAAAAAGTCAATAAGACAAATTTGTATACCAAGTTGGCGTTGGGTCTTTCTGCCAAAGCCTGCCCAAGGGAGGAGAGATCAGCTATAGCAGTGGAACCATAATGCAAGCATGCCACCCTGCTTATTCAAATCTGATTATGTGAGCTTTCTTGTCTAAAGGAATGGTTGGTTCTAGAGTGAAACATGGACAGCTAAAGAAATTTCTGAGTGCTCATGATTAAAATCTCTGAAATGTTACTGTTTATTGTAATAGGAAACTTTGAGCACAGGACATGGTATGAGGAATAACACTAGTTTTTCACCTTTGCAAGAAGGTGCCTAAAGAAATAATGAAGGAGGGGCTCTTGGTGGGCCACCCTAATTTCATTCATTACGTGTTTGTGTGCTTACTCTAGGTCATATGCTGGGCTAGACGTTAGATGTGTTCTGTCTCTCTGCTAAGTGTTCATTCTAGTAGGAGAGAGACACACAATAAATAAATGAAACAAACATTTTTATACTCAAAAGTTATGATAAGTACTAGGCAGGAAAAATGGGAGGTTCCCTCCAACATAGGATGGTGTTCACTGAAGAGATGTTATTTAAATTGAAACCGAAAAGATGGAAAGACACTATCTTTAAACTTCTTTATTATGGAAATTTTCAAACACACACAAAAATAGAATAGCTTAATGAACTATATACCCATTACTTAGCTTCAGTGATTATCAACATTTTTGCCAATTTTG